TCTTTCTTTTGGTTAACTGGGCTAAGGGTCATTCTAGCTTGTTTAGCTTTTCAAAGAACCACCTCTTAAATTCATTGATTCTTTGTATTGGTTTTTGTTTGTTTGTTTGTTTGCTTGCTTGCTTGCTTCTATTTCATTAATTTCTGCTCCGATTTTTGTTATTGTTTTTCTCTACTGCTGGGTTTGGGTTTCATTTGTTCTTGTCTTTCCAGTGCCTTGAGTTGCAGTATTAGGTCATTTATTTGGACTCTTACTATTTTTTTAATTTAGGCATTTAGAGCTATAAATTTCCCTCTTAGGACTGCTTTTAATGTGTCCCAGAGGTTGTGTTGTGTTGTATTGTCCTTTTCATTGAATTCCAGGTATTTTGTTATTTCTTTCTTAATTTCTCCTTTGACCCACTCATTATTTAGGAGTCTGTGTTCAATCGCCAGGAGTTCATGTAGTGACTAGCGCTATGTCCAGTGTTGATTTTGAGCTTTATTGCATGGTCTGATATAATGCAAGAATTATTTCAATTTTTTGTATTTGTTGAGGTTTATTTTGTGGCCCATTGTGTGGTTAATTTTTGTAAAAGTTGCAAAGGGTGCTGATTAAAAAGTGTATTCTTTGGAATATTTCAGTAGATATCTGTTAAGCCCACTTGATGTATGGTATCATTTAATTCAGATGTCTCTTTCTTAACTCTCTGCCCTGTTGATCTATCTAATGGAGACAGTGGGTTATTGAAGTCTGCTACTATTAATAAATTGGGATTAATCTGGGTCTTCAGCTCTTTGTATTGCTTCCAGAACTCTCTGAAAGGCTGGTTTTGTGGACATAAATTCCTTCAGCCTATTTATGTCATGGATGATTTTTCTTTCCCCTTTGACTATAATAGAAATGTTGGCTGGGTATAGTAATCTGGGGTGGCATCTGTGGTCATTTAGAACTGGGAATACTTTGGTCCAGGCTCTTCTGGCTATCATAGTTTGCACTGAAAAGTCAGCTGTAATCCTAATGGGTTTTCCTTTATATGTGACTTGTTGTTTTTCTTTTGCAGCTTTCAGTATTATCTCTTTGTTCTGTACATTTAGGGTTCCATGTGCTTCTTGTGTTTGTATGGGCATGTCTTTCCTTAATTTTGGGAAATTTTCTTCTGTAATCCTGTTTAAGATCTCATCAATACCATTAAAGTGAAATTCTTCTCCTTCCTCTATGTCTATGGTGCATAAATTTGTTTTTTTCATGGTGTCCCACATCTCCTGCATAATCTATTCCTGTGTTTAATTTTTTTTTTCATAATCTTTGCTTGAGTGGTCCAGTTCTTCAACTTTTTCCTTCAGTGTTGATAGTCTGTTTTCCATTTCATTCATTCTGTCAGTGAGGCTTTCAGTCTTGATACTCTGTTTTCCATTTCATTCCTCCTATTGTGAGGCTTTCTCCTGTCATTTCTAATTGGCTTACTGAGTGTTTCACTTCCTTCTTCATTTCAGCCTGAGTAGTCTTCAATATTTCTAGCTCTCTTCTGAACTCATTCAGAAGTTTATCCCTATTTTCCTTCAGTTCTTTTGATTTCTTTTGTGTGTTCTTTAAGTTCACTGAATTCTTTTATGTTTATAATTGTTCTTTTGAGTTCCATGTCCTGTATTATCTCTAGGGGGTTCTCATTGTACTCCTCTAGAGGACTATTGGTATTTGGTGGCAATATGTTATTTTGGTTTTTCATGTTATTATTTTTTCTCTGTGATTTTGACATGTCAATTTCTTTTATAGTTTCTGATTCTTGTGTGAGACTAAAACCTTCAAGTTTAGGTCTGCTTCTTTTTGTGAACTTTATGTGTCTTTGTGGTTTACTTTTTGGGCATGAAAAGCTGGTTTATCTAAGCTTCAGTTCTCTCTTTTGATTTTATATTGGAGTGGCCAGATTGCTTTTGTCTTCAGGAGTTCCCATAGAGGCCAAAGTCAGATGAGGATCAGATGCTCTCAGGCTTTCTCCTAAGGTCTGGATCCCTCCAGGAAAGATGTTGTCCTCAGGACTTTGGAGGTTGGACTGGCCTGGGAGCAGGGCCCAGGAAAGATGGTCTCTGGCAGCTGGTGGCCGTGCCACCCAGAGATGCAAAGGGTGATGGAGGTGGGTAGAGGCCCCAAGGTCTCCTGGAGACTGAAGGGAGGAACTAGGTTGGTATGGATGCAAAGGATCAGGAAGCCGAGAAGTCAGCCCTGGTGTCCATGAAAGAAGCTGGTGGATTGTGCAGCCCAGGGAAAAAGAGGGAGGTGAGGGCGGGACCAGGCCTAGAGGGCTCCTGGGGACCAGGAGAAGGAACTGGGTTGGTCCGGATGCAAAGGATCAGGAAGCAGTGGTGGTTCCCTCGGTGTCTGGGGTGCCAAGACAAGGAATGGGACAGTACCCAGGTTAGGAGGAGAGATGGGCGGGGGAGATGGGAAGGTGAATGAGGCTGGGGGAGTCAAGGCATGGAGGGCACAATGGACTTTCCCAGGAGAGGCTGGCTGGTTGTCTGCAGGATTTTTTAATCTACAAATGTCTGCTGAGCCTTGCCTTTGCAGCATCCCACCATTTGTGGTATATTATTTTTTCTTTCTTTCTTTTATTTGGATTTTGGTCTTTTTGAGACAGGCTCTCACTGTGTAGGTTTGGCCTGGGATTTCCAATCCTCTTGTCTTAGCTTGCCAACCACCAGGATTACAGGTGTGTGCCACTATCTCCAGTGGCTTGTTTGCTTTTATGTGTCTCTAAGTTTTTATCTATTTTCTCTATGATTTCTTCTTTACACTATTGGTACCAATAGCTACATACATGAAAATAATTCCGTATTTCAATAACTAACTGTACCTGCAATATATTTAAACAAAGTATTATACGGTGGGACATATACACAACACACGCACACAAACACACACACACACACAGTGTCTTTGTTTGTGTGTGTGTATACATGTTTTAGTGCACATGCATGTTGAGGCCAGAAGTTGATATTTGCTGTCTTCCTCAAACATTTTCCACCTTTTTTGAGAAAAGAGTCTGTTACTGAACCTGGAACTTATGGATTTGGTGAGGCTGGCTGGCCAGCAAGCTCTAGCAATCCACCTGTTTATACCTCACGAGTGCAGGGATTATACTGTGCTCTGGTATCTATGTGGGTATGAAGGATCAGAATTCTTGTGTGTCAAATATTTTACCCACTGAGCTCTCTCTCCAACCCCAGTCTCTCATCTATCTATCATCTATCTATCTATCTATCTATCTATCTATCTATCTATCTATCTATCTATCTATCTATCTATCTATCTATCTATCTATCTATCTATCTATCTATCTATCTATCTATCTATCTATCTATCTATCATCTATTTATCTATCTATCTATCTATCTATCTATCTATCTATCTATCTATCTATCATCTATCTATCTATCTATCTATCCATCATCTATCTATCTATCTATGTTCTATCTATTGATCTTTCTATCATGTATCTATATGAAGTTTCATTTTTGTATATTTTTTACTGATTTTTTTTGGTCTTTTTGAGACAGGGTCTTCCTGTAGCCCCAGCTGTCCTGGAACTCACCATGTAGATCAGCTGGCCTTGACTCACAGAGATCTGCCTGCCTCTGCCTCCTGAGTGCTGGGATTAAAGAGATGGGCCACCACGCCCAGCCCTGAATTTTTGTGTATTTCATAGAAAACATCTTAATTATCTTTATACCCCTCCCCAATCTGCACTCTCCCATAGACCCACACCATTGGATTTCATGCATTTTGTTATTTATGTTAAGACTTATTGAGTCAAGTTAGTGGTTTCAGCATCCCTCAGTGCAAGTTCATCCACCAGTGTCTAGTCAGCCTATCAGTCACTCCCTTAAAGAAGATCAAACCTCCCTCAACCAGCAGTAATTAGTTGCTAATAGTTCTTCAGCTAAGGTTGGGGTCTGCTGCCCATTTCCCAAGTTCTATGCTAGGTTTTCGTATGCTTGAGTTTGCATGTGTTTTGTGCATGCTGACACCATTGCTGTATATTCATATGAGCAAGATTCCAGAAGCCTGCAACAGTTTCCATACGGTTATACACCTCCTCCCCTGGCTTTTACAATCTTTTTGCATCCTCTTCCACAACAGTCCCTAAGTCCTCTGTGGGTGGAGTTTAGGAGTCTTGTCCAAGGGTTCACACTCTGCAGACTCTTATTCCCTATGCTTTGGCCATTTGTGGCCTTTTGTGTTCATTGCCCTCTGTTGCATGAGGGAGCTTAATTAAAGGTGTGCACCACCACCCCAGCTCAGCTTATATATATTTTTAACCATAAAATAAACTAATGATTATATAATCATTAAATCAGAGTATTTAACCATAATTACTGCTTATTACCACTGCAGGGAAAAAATTTCAACTCCTCCAATAAATACTTTTCACAGATATATAGTGAAGTCAGTAACAAGTACTATAAGTACGAAATTTTCTTAAGAATCTTACCTTGAATTTTCTTGAAAACTCTGGAATTCATAAACTTTAAAAATCTATCTGCATAAAAACTTGGTCTATGAACTGAAACAGTGTCCTGAAAAACAAATGAAAGATCACAGGTTGGCCTTTCAATTCATCACAAGTCTGAAAGAAGGCTTCTGTTAGGCAAGGCCTGAAACCAAACATGGCCAAGGGTTAGGAGGAGCCATGTTCTGTGTCTAGTGGGGACTAGGAGAATAGGGCTGGGAGAGGCAGGCACAGACTCAATCAGAATAAGGATTCTAGATACTCAGGATGAAATGGAGCACTAAGGGGTAGTGGAGACAGCAAAAGGGCTCTGCTTAATCAGTGAACATTGTTCATCCTTAGCCAAAACACCAGCAGGGGTGGGAGGAATTCTATGTTCCTTTCTCACAGGAAACCAGCATTCCAAGTGCTGTCTGGAATGAAGGGCGGTACTCTCAGTCACTAGGCGACTGTATGGGGCATCTGTGTGCTTTTAGTTAGAACTACTGTGACTCTGCAGTGGGCAGTAAGAAGGGCACAGCTCTCCAGTCACGTTGTGAAGTACAGAAACAAACAAGACACCCTAATGTAAGAGTGGCATTTCAGCTAGTAGAGCTTCATCAGGAGGTAACAAGGTGAGGACACACCTTATCAGTGATAGGACTGCCTGAGGCTACACTGAATTAGCTATTGACCACATAGGGCTAAACTGAATTAAGCTGCTAGCTTCCTCTTTCTCTCACACTTGGCAGGAGTGCTTAGGACATTTTATTTATAATACAATGACAAGTCATTGTATTATAAATCTAAAAAAAGGGACTGAATGAAGGAGTCAATTCTCTATGTTCATCTGGTAGTCGCTTAGTGACAATCCAAGCTGCACATATCTAGAAACAGTAAATTTGTTCATACATATGATGTTCTAGTTTGAATCCAGGTGTCTGGATTCTAATAGGAAACTTTCTAGATGCTTAACAGTAGACATTATGAAATGTCTGCTGTGAGGTTTGAGGAGTACAGACTGGCCCAGAAGTCATGAGACCTGATTCTGGTGTGAGGTCTAATTTTAAAAGGCTGTATGATACTAGGAATAGCCAGAGTCTCAGGGCCTCTGTGTTTTTATCTATAAATATGCTGTTACTTGAAGTACCTGTGCACTTCTAGTCAGAAACATCTGCAATTCTACAACAGGCCAGTTAAGAAGAGCACACTTGCTCAGTCAACTCTGTGACAGTTCAGCAGACCCTTGGGGAGCTATGTGGTGGGACATATACTCTTCCTAGAGTTCTGGCAGCTTCTGTCTCAAGTGAACACCTTCTCACAACAGGTACAGTAACTCAGATATATTGGTAGGACCAAGGGAATCCATGGGTGACTGACACTTAGCCCTTGCCTTTAAAGGGTTCCATTATTGTTATCTTTGGTCTGAAGAAACCCTATCTAAATAAGGGGTAAATTTGTAAACAAACAAAATAAGTCTTGATTACTGTTTATGGTTTCACAGATATATAATCAGCATGGAGATTTTTCTTAAAAAACAACTACAGATGAAAAAATATGTTTTAAAGACAAAGTGGGGACTCACTTGGCTAACATGAGACTAGGCCACCGAGATCAGAAATGTCACCTGGTGATGGAATTAAATGTCTCAGAAAACACCAAAGGATGACCTTTGGGATGTTCGCTGTCTCCCTTCTGTGCTTAAGGTGCTGTGAGGTTCCTATCTTTCCCAGCTTCAAGTCCTAAAATTAACCTACTATTTTGACCTTTTCACAAGAAGGGTCTCTGATCTGATTAAGCCTGTGGTTGATTCTTAGAAATAAATTTGTGAGCCTATAATTTAAAAATGCCTCCTGACAGAAGCCAGTCCTCAGCCTGTGAGCAAAATGCAGTTTTTTCATGCTGAAACATTATTAGTCTTCCACAGAACTGAAAAATGTGTGTTCCTTTTCTGAAAGGAGGAGAAGAGCATTTATAATTTATCCTCTTTCAAAAGAAGATATCTGCTAACATCTTAAAAGGAAATGTGTGACCAAATATGATATGTGACCGGTGGATTCATTGGAAGCATCACATTAAATCATTAATAGAGAAACTCAGGTCTGTTGGCAGCAAGAAGCACAAATTGAACATCAAGGGGTGTGTGTGTGTGTGTGTAGTGTGACACAGAGAAAGACAGATTACACTTTATTTTTTAATATTTATTATTTTTATTTTATGTGTATGAGTATATTGCCTTTATGTATGTATGTACATGCACCCATGTCATGCAATGCCTGTGGAGGTCAGAAGAGGATGTCTGATCACCTGGAACTGGAGTTATGGATGGCTGTTAGCTGCCATGTGGGTGCTGGGAATAGAATCTGGGTCTTCTGGAAGAGCACCAGAGCTCTTAACCACTGAGCCATATCTTTAGCTCAAATATATTAGGAAGTTAAAAAAAGATTTTATTATTTTTAATTATGTGTATATCTATGTGTGTTTAGGTGTGTATGCCATGTGCTTATGAGTACCCACAGAGGCCAGAAGAAGGCAGCAGATCCTCTAGAGCTATATTTACAAGTGGTTGTGAGTTGCCTGATGTGGGTGTTAGGAATCTGCAAGAGCAGAATGTGCCTTTGTGGGTACTCAACAAGCATATGGCATACACACAGAGACACACAGAAATACAAGAAACATACACTTAATTAAAAGTAATGAAATCTTGTTGGTCATGGTGGTGAACCCCTTTAACTCTAGCCCTTGGGGCCCACCTGGTCTATGTAGCCAGTTCCAGGCCAGCTGGGGCTATAGGGAAACCCTGTCTCCCCTCCAAAAAAAACAATCTGTTTTTAGACGTTCATAACATATGTAAATACATATGATGACATTTTTATTTTCTGTGTCTTTATTGTGTGTTAGGGCATTGTGCCGCACACTAATGTCCAATATCCTGTTTCACCCTCATAGCAGGAAGACACTGGACTAGCCCTGTTATTGATGAGAAGACTGGTTGTTTTCTCACATGACCAGTCGGGTGGGATCCTGGAGTTCAAACCCAGGGCTGTTCACTGTCACAATCAAGGCTCCGTCACTTCTACAGTTTCGTCTTCTGAGAACTTCATGTCAAGGGGCTCAGTCTTCTCAGAGCCTTTGAAAATGGTCTCCTTCACTTTCCTCTTACCAACTTCACAGTGGGGACTTTGATATTTCAGAAACAGCCATCATTTTTGTTTGGCCTCTACCTGGCCACTAGGCTAGAAGTCATTGACTTGATTAGCTATTCAAATCTACATGGTTTGTTCTCAGACTTGAACCAATCTGCTAGGGCAGGAGTCTGGGCTTACAAAGACCTTTGTTCTCTTAGTCTAGTGACACAGTTGGACAAGAAGCATCTGCAGTTTAACCAGGCATAGGTCACTCACCCCATCATAAACAAGAGCTTTCCAGGAATGTTCTAACTTCTTCATCAACCTGAATGTAAACAGATGGGAAAATAACACTGAGGATGCAGAATCATTGCCATTTGCTGAATTTTGAGAAACTTTTTTGATTACTTTTGAAACAGTGAAAGGCTACTTCCCAAAATTTCTCACCTATATGACTGTAGAATATCAATAATGCCCATAAATAAAAGTAGTTTTTCTCCCTTATGGCTTTTAGCTGGAATGCCTCCCATTCTGTGGATGGAGAAAAAGGGAAATATTTTAGCATATAAGTATAGAAAGTTAAAATTCATCACTAAATATATATTGAGTATATTAGGAATTCTGAGCCATCTCTCCCTTTACTGTTATCATTAGTTCAGAAGGATAATAACATCTCAGCTGTTGCTCTGGAGTTGGATGGGAAAAATTCAACTAAAAAACATTCCTATTTAAAAGTTATGAGCAAAGAATTTTAGCACATGATAAAATACTGCTTTTTAGAAAAGGCAATACTAGGGTTAGGGATGTAGCTGAGTTGGTAGAGTGCTGGCCTAGCACGCATGAAGCCTTTGGTTCAATTTCCAGCACCAGATAAAGCCACGCATGGTGGCAGATACAGGAAGCAGAGGTAGGAGGATTAGTTCAAAGTTATTCTCAGCTACAGAGCAAGTTTGAGGCCAATCTGATCTATGTGAGACCCTGTCCCCCAAAAATAAGTCACACTGCTTTTTCCGATTCAAAGAATCAGATGTTTAACTGGGTGTGGTGGGGCATGCCTTTAATCTCAGCACTTGCAAGGCCAAAGCAGGTGCATCTCTGTGAGTTCCAGGCCAGTCAGAGCTACACAGTGAGGCCCTGTCTCAAAAAACAAAAAAAAATCAGATGCTTTCTCTAACGTTAAATAAAAATAAAAAAAAAATAATATAAAAGCACATAGAAGAAAATATGTGAAAATTCTGGAGATATACCTAT